TGTTGACATATTTAGACTCATTTAGAATTATATTATTTATTACCATACCTTAGTTGACTGTTTTACCCTTGGATATTCTCGGGTTCGGGTAAGGACTCGGCTAGCGATTCGGACCCTTGGGTTCAGGTCGCTACAGTCCACATAGTTAGTCAGTTCATAACTGCCCCTATATCTACTCATTTTGTTGCAATTATTCGCATCATTCTCTATCTTAAAGGCATTATGTTTCAGGGCTTTATTTTTCTTCCCAGTTGTCACTTATTCTTTGTGCCTATTCAGATGCCGACTGGGCAGGAGATCCTACAAAAGACCCTACAGTTGTCACAATGATGTATTTTACGAGCGTACCAAACACATTGAGAACGATTGCCTTTTTCTTTCGTCGTCATCTTCTTCAGAAGATCTTATGCTACGTTTGGTGTGCAGGAATAGAATGGAATACAAGTGGGAATGGAAGAGAATGGTCATTCTCATTCTATTGTTTGATTGTAAATATGAAATGTGTAGGAATGCAATGATAATAACCATTCTAGTATTTGGTTAGACCAATTTAAAATTTAGAATGGAATAAATTTCTAATTAAATTCTCCAAAATATCCCTTTTAGTAACAAATAAATTAAATTAAAATAAAATAACAAAAAATTATTCTCTAATAATTTTTTAAAAATAAATGGTGGCAGTGGCGGTGGTGGTGTTGGAAGGCGGCGGCGGTGGCAATGGTGGAAATTGGTGGTAGCAGTGGTGGTGGAAGGTGGCAGTGGTGTTAGTGGAAGGCGGTGGCAGTAGTGTGGTGGTTGTGGTGGAAGGAGATAGTGGTGTGACTATGGTGGTGGTGGAAGGCAATGGAAGTTGTGGTGATGGTGGTGGAAGGCGGCGGCAGCGGGGGTGGTAGTGGTGGTGGAAGGCGGTGGCGGTGGCGGTGGTGGTAGTGGTGGTGGTGGCAGTGGTGGAAGGTGGTAGAAGGCGATGGTGGTGGTGGAAGGCGGTGGTGGCTGCGTTGGTGGTTGTGGAAGGCAGCGGCGGTGGCGGTGGCGGTGGCAATGGTGGAAGGTAGCGATGGTAGTGTAGGGCTGTGGCGGTGGCGGTGGTGGAAGGCGATGGTGGTAATGAAAAGCAATAGCAGTGATGGTGGTGGAAGGTGGTGGTAGTGGTGAAAGGCGATGGCGGCGGTGGTGGTGGAAGGTGGTGAAAGGCAATGGCAGTGGTGATGGTGGAAGGTGGTGGCAATAGTAGTGATGAAAGGTGGCGGTGGCGATTGCGGCAAACAGTGGAGGTAGCGGTGGTGAAAGGCGGTGGCGGTACAGTGGTGGTGGTGGAAAGTGATGGGCGATGATGAAAGTCGGTGGTGGTGGAAGGCAGTAGTAGTGGTGGTGGTGGTGAAAGGCGGAGATGATTGTAGTGCAAGGTAATGGTGGTTTTTGGACTTGGAATATGAGGGTGTTTTAGGAAGTCGATTTTTTAAAATAAATTACTTGGAAATGGAATGGCCATTCTATAGGTTTAGTTGTGGAATGGATTTTCATTCCCAGGAATGAATTTTCATTCCAATGAAATGGCCATCCCCACTTTAAGTTGTATACCAAACAAAGGAATGGTTGGAATAGGCATTACATTCCATTCCATTCCTGCATACCAAACGCAGCATAACAGTTGCGGTTCATTACTTCTCATGATCAGATAGCAGATATCTTCACTAAATCACTTCCACTATGCCGCTTCAAGGATTTTATTTCCACACTCAAGATGATTTTATAGAACCCACCAGACTTTGAGGGAGCTGTTAGAGAATACTGTATTAAAAGAAAAAATAAATAAATAAATAAAAATCATTCTCAGTTTTCAATTTTCATTACATAAAGAGGCACTAGTGATATATGGACGTTAATGCTATTCTACAGAATGCTTCATCTCGAATGATGGTGAAAATTCAACGTCATGAATTTTGAGATGGTGATGGAGACAGGTAGCTTTCAAGATTTTATTGCCCTGGTTTTGATATTAATATCTACTCCCATCATTTCATTAACGAGCATTGTTTTCCTTTTCCCTTTCAAGTTTCAACCCATATGATGCGGCGGGGGGGATATACAAATACGCTTTCAATTTCTCTATTTTGTGAAATGCAAAATATATATATATATATATATATAATGTTATATACAGGATGTGCAAATACTCCTCTGGTGAAAAAATCTCTATATTTTTCAAATTGAGCAAGTATAGACATTTTGACAATTTGAAAATTAAAATATCTAAAATTTACTTTAAGTGTGTTCGGTTGCATGAAATTAGAATCTTAGAAATGGAATTGATAGAATTTAAAAAAAAAAAAAGTTTAAAAATTGAACTAATTTTTTTTTCAAATTTTATCAATTCTAATTTTAAAACTTCAATTCCATATAACCGAATACACCCTAAGATAAAATGAAAATACAAAAAACACTAATTTCTATTTTTAAAAGTATATATAAGGTATTTTGGGATTTTTTAAAAAAAAAATTGGTTAAAATCGACATTGAACAAAAATTAAGGGACAATTTGCACATATTTTCAAATGTTATGAATTTATATGCCCTTTCTGCACATTTTTTATTTGTGCGTGTGTATGTGTTTGTGTGTGTAAATGTGAAGGCAAAATTCATGTCTAGGTACTTGAAATGAGTGGATTTGAGAAGTATTCTAGGGAGTGGCTTTCAAGCTTTGACAGTTGGTTGAGAGTTGTTGAGTTCTTCCCCTAAGACTGCAAGGACTATCCTTAGGGTTATATAAATGTTATAATACTATAATTAAATAAGTGTATATTAATGACTAATGAGTGATTTAATAAACAAATTGAGATACGAGAGAGTAGGTTGAGAGCTGTTGAACCTTGCTCCAAGTTTAACACAGTTCTGGTTATGAATGTTATCAATTTGGATATTACTTGTCAAACCAAAAAATTAACCAAGAAAAAATGGCATAGCTCATACTCATGTGCAATATCAATCAATCATAAATTTTGCAGAAATAGGGATGGCAAAATATGTAGCCGTCGGGTACCTGCCTCATTTAGAACGATTATAAGGGTGGTTATATGGGTTTTGGGGCGGGAATGAAGGTTAAAATTGAAAACTTGCATTGTTATGGGGCGGGGATGGAGAATGGTCACCCCGCCTCGCCTCTCCCCCTTCCATTTATAGTGATAAATTATAATTTTGTTTTTATACTTTATTTTATATTCAATAATATTAGGTATATAGTAAGCAAATTTTAGTTTATTCTATTCCAATCACTAAAAATTATTTTGTATGATTTTTATTTGAGAATTTTTATGTATTATTTTGATATTCCAACAAAAATTTTAGTCTTGAGTTTCAATTAAGAAGTTGAATATTGTTTTTATTCGCATAAGAGAGGAAAAAATATTATCACAGTTGAAAATTTGTTTTATTATTTATTTTCGTTTAATTCGTATTACAATCACGAAAATACTCTACAAAACTCGCCCGGCGCCGTTTAATAAACGGTTTTGAGGTGGAGATGGGGGTAGCTATTCTAAATGGAAATGACATTTCCCGCCCCATTACCATCCCTAATCAGAATAACAGTTGCAACTCTTTAGAAGGAGAAACTTTTACATGGTTCCAACCAATCACATGGTTTCAGATAAGTAAAAATTTAAAAAAGGTCGACACAATTTCGTATGTAGCCACATGCAATTTCCCGAAATCATGTAATATATAATTTCTTGGGAGGTACCAAATAAATGACTTGAATCCGGGTTTTGTGCATAAATATTGAGCAGCATCACTGTGATGACGGGAAAATCACCTGTCGCATAAGCCCAACAATTTTTTTTCAATCACTTTCATGTTTTCTTGTTTAAGTGGTACTTCCAAAGTTAGTTCTATACGTATGACCAGCAACAAGAAAATAAAACATAATAACTAAATGATGATGCGCAATATCAGCCACCATAAACTTCGCGTTTATGGGTGGAATCCCCTGAGGAGGGTTAGAATGGCCGTTCTCGCTCCCTGGAGATATCAAATGAATGACTACTTGAATTAAGGTTTTGTGACAAAATCCAATGAAAAACAGTGGGTACTAGTGAAGGATTCAAAATTTTGTTTTACATGTCCTTGTGAGATAAATAGATTTTGGGTGAACCCGGCATATCATGTCATAATATGGGTATACCATGACCCGACTCAATCAATATATACTCATATGCTGCTCCTCAGTCCTCACATTGGGTACAAAATCTGCTGGGCTGACATTTTTATGATTCAAAATTCCAAAACTTATCAAGGTCCAACAACTAGGCCCAAATGACATTTTGGCATCATCCTTCTTCTATGGTGTTCACAATCACTGAGTTACAAAGTTGAACATATGCCCAACCCAAACATCACATAATTTGACCAAATCCAGTGAAAACTGGATTGGGGTCGGAGGGTTTCATTTATACATCCCCGCCCCCCTTTTTTGCGTGTAGTGCTGTAATTGGACATAACCATGTAAAAATTTATTGAAAAGCACTCACCCCTTTCTTCTTTACATTTATTTTAATCTAAAAATAAAACCCATGATTGGACAGAACCATGTAAAAATTTCTCAAAAAGCATTCACCCCTTTCTTCTTTACATTTCTTTTAATCAAAATATAGAACCCATGATCAGCTTTTATCCGATGGTTCGGAACCTGACCCATCAACCATGACCCATGATCAGCTTTTATCTGATGGTTCGGAACCTGACCCATCAACCATGTCTCTCAGGACCATGTAAAAATTTCTCAAGCACTCACCCCTTTCTTCTTTATATTTCTTTTAGTCCAAATACAGAACTCGTGATCTGCTTCAATCCGATGGTTCGGAACCTGACCCATTAACCGATGTCTCTCAGAGCCATCCTTGTAATGTAGTACCATTGAACCAAAAAGTGGCTGAAACTCTAAAGCCAAGGGTAGTCCAACCAACTGCTGAAGCTATTCAGTCTCAAAGCATAAATACTCATAATTTGCTCATCAAGATGTGTCAGGATATTTTAAACCAAATAAAATGGTAAGAATCACCAAACTTTTATCAACTACAAGAATCTGATTCTAGTCGTACATAAATGGTGTGACAAATATTATTTTGAAGGTTCTTGTCTAAACAATTTGATCTGCAAAACCCACAAGAAAACATACTACACATGGCTTAACTATTACCTACCCTCTGATGTTGTTGCTCACACTCACTAGCATCCGCAGCACCCTTTTCCTGGCTGTGGCGGTATCCACTGCATTGGCTAAACTTGACTACATGCAAATGAAAAGCACACATTAAGCAAAACTAAAGCTTGAAAAGAGTCGATTCCCGCTTCCTCTTCAGACTGCAAAACTTATAGAAGCTACTGATTATCTGGTTTATCTGGATTCTCCTGCTCAGGATCGTCCTCTTCTTCCTCTTTCTTTTCTTCCTCTTCCTCATCTTCTTCGGGAGGATCCGCTGGCAAGGGGGGTGGTAATGGTGTTTTCATTGGGCTAAACTGGGGGAATATATCTGGTCGCCGCCCGGGCTTGGGCCTTTCCCACTCCTGCCATGTCAGGTTAGCACCAGAGTAATATGTTATTCCAAAATAGCCAGTGTGCAATAATACAAACCTAACAACAACCAAAAAGCACAAGATTCATCTATTAGACTATTAATTCTTAGTTCCTATAAAGCAGGATACATTAATTTGGGTAAACTACTCCTTTAACTATGGGACCGCTGGCACCCCCTGAACTACAGAGTGCCTTAAATGTCCGCTTGAATTTATTAAAGGTAACAGAGTGAACATAAAATGTTCACATATTATATTAGACTTCACTATTTTTATTTCTTTATTATAAAAAAATTAAAACGTTGTACTTGCACACCACCCCTCTCTTACTATCAGAAGCAAGACTTCACCCACCCTTCATTGTCGCAACCCCTAAAACCAACTACTCAACCACCATCTCCATAGCATAGCCACCACTACGAACCTATGCTACCAATCACAATGACGAACTGCCTCTTTTTCTCCACCTAAAACTGCCACTAACCCAATTATTTCCGAAGTTCAAATCAACACTGCAAATGCCAAGCTGTTAACACATATTCAACAACCAGCAAAACCAGTGACAGCATTCACATATTAAACAACAACCAGTGTTTGCTTTTATTAGGAATTGCCAAGTAAACTTAGAGGTGCCTAGAGAAGAGGGTGAAAGGTGATCCTGACGGTTGTTTTTGGTGATTTGAACTCATCATAAGGAATACATTTTATCCAGTGATTACAGACTCAAAGCCCACGCAAACAATTACATAAGAAAATAGAAAAAGCTAGGATTCCTCCCAAACCAAAGATAAAAGAAGTTCCAATTTAATTCAACCATCGAACAACAGGCTATTGCATGGCAAGAAGCCACCATCAGTGAGAATGCTGGTTGGAATTGGAGAGCAGTCACCATGTGCAAATAATTCCATATGTTAGAATTCTATTCAGTCTACCCCTTCCAATATCCCGTATTGGCAGGAACATTGGGTATTGGCCTATAGCCATATTTCATTCATCAGACACATAAACTGCTCCTTGCTACTGCATCCAAAATCCATCCACTTTCTCACTCCTTTTACTTTCTCGCTCTTAACCATGCTTCTCTACTGCTTTAGTTACATGTATCATGAGAGCAACTGAGAGATAATTGACCAGAGTGGTAGACTCCGGCTTTCTATTTTCTAGAATAATATGCTGTTATTTTTGTTGTCAAGGAGAAATATCAATGATGATGGAGTCTGCTTTAGATTTGGAAATTAATTTTTATGATGCTGGATAGCTAAAGACACCAACCAATCCAGTAAAGGTGATGAGATCTCAACAGCAGTGGTTGGAGTTTTGAATTTTGACCACTAGTGGTGGATGATAGTGATCACAAGGTGATCATTGTGGGGTTTCAGATGACATTAATCATTACTGGTGAAGAAGTTAATTAAGGGGCAGATACACATGATAGTAGAGAATGTTTAATGAGAGAGAGAGAGAGAGAGAGAGAGAGAAGCCGTTAGCAAATGGGGCAACAACACCAACGGAAAAGCAAAATTGGCACAAAACTAAACTTAATAATCATGTGCATACCACATCTTGGTGCATTGTATAGTTTAGACGGGTTTTAGTGACACAAGGAACATAGTTTGGGACTTTGGGGTGTGGGTGAAGCATAATTTAGCCAATTAATTTATGTTCAGTCTAATTGAGAGGTATCATGAGATAAGAAATGTCCAAATTATGCTAACTCCAACCTGTTATATAAAACAACATTTCTTAACATGTCTTCTTGGAAAGACAGTACTGGTTGAAATTTTTGTTTCAAGAGACTCCCTCCAAACCAAAATAATTGCCCCTCACACTATTTGCAGATGTTCCGTAATAATCGTCTCTTTTGAAAATTCAATGTTAAAAAATTAAAGCTTTCCTATTTCTAAATTATCTTAAGTTCTAAAAACTTTGCTAATTTAACAATGTATCTATAGTTTTGTAATTTCAAAGGGAAACATGCATTAAATGCATTTCCCCTTAAACTGTTTAATTCCAAAAGGAACACTTACTTTGGGATGGAGGGAGTGCAAAGGTAAATTTTATTAAAATGTCACCAACTTTTTTTTTAACAAGTATTTTCTATCTTCAGCAAATCAAAATTTTCCCCCGATCAACAGTGATAAATCAGTTGAGAGAGAGAGTCTAGACCAATAGCATGATCGCAAACTAACAAACAGCTGAGAAGTAAGACCTGAAGGACAATGTGAACTGTGAAGCAATTAGCATGATGAGATGTACACTTCAAGTAAACATTGCAATAGGTAACAATTGTCTCTGTGTAAGCGGAGGGTGTTGGTGTACACAGACTTGTCAAATTTAACCCAACCTATTTGAGTCAGGGGGGGCTTATCGTCATCTAGAAGCATTGGATTCACATATTTGTCAACAATGGTGGGCCAAATGGACAAGATGTGATTTATGAAAAATCCGATTTGGATGCCACGGTGGCTCATGAAAGAATCAACTAGGTGATGCAAGATAGCAGGGGTGCAATCGATGTACCAAAAGTGGGAGCAGAGTGGATTTAAAAGTATGCATATAGCCACTTTGAGGAATGTGGTCAGGTCTTGAGTATCAAATGGTTAGTTACTTCCCATCAAATGGTTAGTTCATGCCAGATGGGAGAAAACATATGCCCAAAGGAGCTAAAGGTGATTCAAATCCTGTGGTGGGACAACAAATGGTAAACTTTAGAGTGAGAAAGAAGAGTGATTCAAATTATGTCCAATAGACACTTGGGTGGTATTGGAAGAGATTAAACCCAGATACTAACACATAGTTGCTGATTATGATGTATTTGGTAACCCAAATATATTCCTGCTGGATTGCGTACACGATCAACCCAGAGAACCTACATTGGACATTCAAATACTCAAACCCTACTAATGAACAGACTTAGAGGAAAAGAGATGCTAAGGAAAGAATTTTGCCTCTTCATTTAGACCCATATTCTTCATCAGTCTTATTGGTGCTTAAAAATTATTTCAGGTTCTGATGGCTGACAAGCAGGTGGATATATTACACTCAGTAATATATATTTCTTTTCTTTTTCAAATTTAGACTTCTATTTTGGGAACCACTGTATCTGAATGGACGAGATGAAGCCTTTACCTTTTGAAATTCAAGAAACATAGATATTCAGCTGTTTTGTACAGATAAACACAAATACTCTATAACACCAACATCAATTAATCTTAGTATCAAGATCTTTTTTTTTTTTTTTTGGGAGAGCATAACACATGCACTTGATTATTGCACTAGAATTTTATGAATGCTAACAGACCAAAGTACAAATTTTCCTGGCTATAGGCACATGTGGGAAGACCAACCACAACATAGGAGTATTACATAAGCAAAAAGAGTGGCCCATTAATGACTGGTTTCCATTTTTTTTGGAATTGGATATAGATGGGGATCCATAGCTAGTAGTAGTTTGCCAACATCTCTTAGCTACATAAAATACAATTTCAGTTCATGGTCAAAGAAAAATGAAAAGCTACTCATCGTTGGCCTCCCTATACTAGAAAATTCCTCCTTTATTCTCTGAAGCCCTACAACAGAAAAGTGGGCTTTTACAGCTCAATTTCAGATTTTCCCCTTATTTGGGACTTAATTAAACCTTATATAATTATTCAACTCAATTTTTTTTTTTGATTAGTATATAATTATTCAACTCAATTGAGGTGAGTATTCTAAGTTCATGGATTAAAAAAGACCAAACACATAACTCAAAGTTTTGGGTTTTCTTTTCTTTTCCTTTAATCTCTCAACAACCAAAGTGAGGACAAGAATGACACATTCAAACAGAAGGAGAACCCACAAACTGTTAACAAAACCAATTGAATTAATTATTATTTCATTTTTTCAGTTTATGGTGCAAAACAACAGCCAAAACAAAATTAAAAAAGTTTTGGGTTTTCCCTTCTTTCAATAATTCACAAGGTTTTGGGTTTTCCTTCTTTTTCCTTCAATTTCTCAGCAAACCAAACAGAGGACAAGAACAATAATGAAACCAAAGGAGAGCACACAAACTGTTTGACAAAAGTACAGAGAGAGAGTAGACTTACTATGGGGAAATCCAGAGGGGAACGGCGAGTCATCTTCTCTTCTTCCGGAGCCATGCACACGACCTGTGACCTCCGACCGATTCGGCTAACTCCGGTTCGCCGGAGAGCCAACAACGGCGTTAGAGAGAGAGACGGCGCTCCGCCTCTGATTTGGCAGAAATGGGCGGTCGACGATGGAGAAGCCGGTCTTGATGATAAGTGTACCATTGGCGCCGCCATGGGAACCGAACAAGATTGACACAGAGAGAGGGACAGCAACCCCATTATCACCGCTACTTTCTCTCTCCGATTCAACAAACACCAACCGCCTTTGCACGCCCAGCTCCTCCAGATAGAGGCGTTGCCTACCACGTGAAGCAGGTCGGCTTGAACATGTATCTGGATGAGCTGGGTTTTTGAATTTGGATCGGGTAAAATATACGACTATTTAATTATTTTTAATTTTGTGGTAATATGATATTACAAGAAAAAGTTAAGAAGCACGGAAACAGAATATAAATATAATATAAGAGGAATATGGTGATACGTCAAACTTTTAAAAAATAAGACACTGACACCGTAAGAATACGGTAATAAAATATATATACCGTATTCTTGCGGTGTCAATGTTTTAATATTTATATATATATATATAATGATTAATTATTTTATTTTAGGTAAAACTACACTTACATAGAATTAGTAATCTTAAATTACAAAATGGTCTATTTTAAAAGTTTAGTTTTCACTTTGGTTGAATTAAGTAAAATAATTACATATACATCAATAATTATTATTTAGGTCCAAAATGCCCTCCAAACACTTATTTCAAAATACTAAAAAAAATTCTCTAAAATCAAGTACTTTCTTTAAGTAATTTATTTACTTGAAATTTTTTAAAAAAATAAGATCTTTCCATTAACTTTGAACCATATTATTGCAACTTTTATATAAATACACACAATAACTTATACAAATAATAAAAAAGATTTAATAAGGTAAAAAATGGGGTAATCAAAGTTAGTCCCCAAAAAAATATATATAATTAAACTCAAGAATATATAAATGGTCTTTGCTGTGGTGCATGTCTTGAAATGATCATCAATTTTTTGGCTCAATTAACTTGTTTTATAAATAAAATAAAAAAATTTGATTGCTGGTGTACTATTCACTGAAGTAACCATTTAGTTTTTTCATGATCTCCCTCTGCTGTGTGTGTACTATATATATATATATATATATATATATATATATATTTCATAGAAAAGTTTTCACATTTACAAGTTTATGTTGGTATGAATTAGGAGATATGGTTATTATTATTATATAGGATGAATTTTCACTTACCGAAATAAAAAATTCCATACATAATGAATTTTCATTAATTTTTTTATATATTTCTAAATTGACATTTGCAGGAACAGATATAGATTTGGAATATATATTTGTGCAAAAAACTTTAACGATATATATATATATATATTTGTGCAAATAACTTTAACGTTATATATATATATATACACACACACACACCCACACTATTCTAAAAGTGTAAGAAATTTCTTAACATTTTTAGATTTTTTAAAAATACAAAATAATTTTTATTAAATACTTTACATTATAGTATATATTTATATACTACTTAGAATTCCATAATTCCAATAGCCACATATGACTAATGAGTCATCTCTATGTGTAAAAGTTGAAAAATTCCAATAGTCACAAATAATTAATGAGTGTATATATTTTTTATTACTACTATTTCTATACATTTTCAACAATTTTGAATTAGAGTATTTTTTAAAAGGTTAAAACAAATTAAAACAAAGAGCTAATAGAAGTACCTTTTAAAACTAAATACACACATAGCAAAATAATTATCTATATACTTATATATTAAAGTGTATATATTTTTAATAATTTCTATACATTTTGAACAATTTTTAGTACCTATATTTTTTAAAAGGTTAAAACAAACCGTTAATAAGAGTACCTTTTAAAACTAAATTACATTTTTTATTTATAAACTATAGACCCTTTCTATACATTTTCAACAATTTTGAATTACGCTATTTTTTTTTTTTTTTTTTTAAAACGTTAAAACAAAGAGTTGATAGAAGTACCTGTTAAAACTAAATACACACATACCCAAATTATTGTCTATATATACTTATACATAAAAGTGTATATATTTATAATAATTTTTATATATTATTTTCAACAATTTTTAGTAACTTATTATTTATTTATTTATTTTGAAAGGTTAAAACAAAGTGTTAATAGGAGTACTTTTCAAACTAAATTACCTTTTAAATTTTTATTTATTTATTAAACTATAGACCCTTTCCTTGTCTTAACAGACATACATTTTTAAAAGTGTTATGTGAATATATATATGATTAGTAACGTGTTATAATAGCCCTTCCTAAAATTAATACATTTAAAGATAAAATTAACTTTATTAATTTCTTTTTTAAATCACTTGTCTTTTCTTTTTCTCAACCGTTATTGATATTATTGTGAAGAATAGCTCAGTTAATACCTTTTAAAGCTAAATTACCTTTTTTTTAAAAAAATTCCTTTTCTTACTTCACATGTCTTTTCCTTTTTTCAACCGATACAATATGTAAAAGTATGCGTTTTCATTGATTTTATACACGTCATATTTATTTATATCAAAACTTGATATACCCGTTCTAATTAATTTTCATGATTTTCATTCTTGTGTGGTCAATACGAGGGAGTAAAGTGATGACAAATGGAATCGATGAATTAGATGATTATGAGGACGTCCGATGTTAGTATTCCCTTCCATAGTTTATGAATTCTTTATAATTGTTTACTTCACACATTTTAAAATTTTTTTTTTTTTTTCTTACATCACACTACATTACATGTCTTTTTCTTTTCTTAACTGATATTATATATACAAGTATATGTTTTCATCGATTTTATACTCCTACCATAATTTATGTATATCAAAACTTGATGCACCAGTAGAAAAAAAAAAATGATTAAATCACTACGTGCATCGCACGTAAATTTTGCTAGTATATATATATGGGAGATGATATTTGCTTTCCAATTTTCTCCAATTACACTACATTTATCATTTTCTAATAAAATAAATGACCAAAAAGTCATTGAATTCATTATTATATAACTCCTTAATTTATAATGTCATAACTACCCTTTATATAATATATATATATTTTTTTTTTACTATTTTTTTTTTCTTTCTTTTTGTTGGTCCTCTCAAAGAAAATAATTTATTCTATATTAATAATTTTATTTTTGGCAGTCAAAAGAGATAATTTGTTCCATAGTGACTTTTTTTTTTTTTGGGTACAATCGAAAGAGATATTTATTTAACAAAATTATTTTTTTTTTCAATTTTATCAAAAGAGGTAACTTTATTTTTTGGTAATTTTTTATAAGTCCTGTCAAAAGAATATTTGATAAAAATAACGTCTTTTTTCTTCTTTTTTTCTTGGTCTTATCAAAAGAGATAATTTATTCAATAAAGATAATTTTTTTAATCATCTTACTTTTGTACTTTTTATTATTATTTTGGAATCTTGATAACAGAGATAATTTATTCAATAAATATATATTTTTGGATTTTTTTTTCCTTCATGTCAAAAGAGATAATTTTTTAAATGGTTACTTTTTTATTTTTTTTATCTGGCCAAAAGAGGTAATTTATTCAACATAACAAAATTTTATTATTTTTTGGCCCCTTAAAAAAAAAAATTTATTCAATTTTTATTTTATTTTATTGTTATCAAAAGATACTTAAAATATTAAAGATTAGAGATAAGAAGATAAAATGTGAAAGGGCAATTGTGTCATTTAAAAAGTAATAATTATTTACTCTTGAAATTCAGAGAAAGAATTAAAACTATATTCGATATTTTTACTGATGGTGTTACATTTAATTTATAGAATAGGACCTAACTAAAATAGGTAACTAATTTACTTACCAATTAGTCCTAATTTAGGGAGTAAATAATTCAATCCTACAGCTGTTCTATAAGAGATAAAATCTCAACACTCCCCCTTAAGTTGGTGCATAGATGTCACACATGCCCAATTTGTCTAAATTTTTTGAAAACACTTGATTTGAGACTGCTTTGGTGACAATATCGGCTAGTTGATCCTCAGATCGAATCTTAGGTAACTCCACAATTTTCCCATCCAACTTCTCCTTAATGAAGAATCTATCTATTTCGACATGCTTCGTACGATCATGTTGAACTGGATTATGGGTAATATCACATGCTGCTTTATTGTTACAATATAGTCGAATAGGTTGCCTAGGTAGATAACCCAAATCCCATAAGAAAAGTCTTAACCACAATGTTTCACAAAGTGTAAGCGTCATACCTCTGAATTCAGCTTCTGCACTCGAGCGAGCAACAACATTTTGTTTCTTGCTTCTCCATGTAACAAGATTACCTCCTATAAAAGTAAAGTAACCAGAAGTAGATCGTCTATCATCTATAGCTCTAGCCCAGTCAGCATCAGTATATGCATCTATGTTTTGATAACCAACATTTTTAGTAAACAAAATTCCTTTTCCAGGAGCAGATTTCAAATACCTCAAAATGCGCATAACTGTATTCATATGTTGCTCTCCAGGATCATGCATAAACTGGCTAACAATGTTCAATGCATAAGCCAGATCCGGTCTCGTGTATGCTAAGTAAATCAATCTCCCTACAAGTCTTTGGTATCTTCATTTATTAGCAGGTACTTGGTTGGACTCAACACATAGCTTCAGTCCTTCTTCCACTGGTGTCTCAGCTGGTTGACATGCTGTTATGCCAGTCTCTTGTAATAGATCTAAGGCATATTTTTTTTGAGATTGAAAGATTTCTTTATTAGATCGAGATATTTCGATCCCAAGAAAATATCTCAAAGGACCTAGATCTTTCATTTCAAATTCTTTGGACAAGTACTTCTTGAGAGCCTTCATTTCTTCAGGATCATTCCCTGTAACCACCATGTCATCTACATATACAATGAGTGCAGTGATCTTACCCTGTTGTTTCTTTAGATATAATGTGTGATTTGAATTGCTCTGACGGTAGCTAAAGCCTATCATAGAATTTGTGAATTTTCCAAGCCATGCTTTTGGAGATTATATTAACCCATATAATGATTTCTTTAACCTGCAGACCTTCCGACTATACTTTTCAGGTATCATGCATCCTGGTGGGAGATCCATGTAGACTTCTTCAGATAATTCACCATGCAGAAAGGCATTCTTCACATCGAATTGTTGTAATGGCTAATCCAAGTTCGCAGCTAATGATAATAAGACTCGAATTGTGTTGATTTTGGCTACAGGTGCAAACGTCTCTGTGTAATCGATTCCATAGGTTTGGGTGTAACATTTTGCCACCAATCTTGCTTTA